ACGTAACGATTATTTTCTGAGCAAAAAATAAAACTTAAAACGTAAGCATTATTTTACGAGCAAAAAATATAACTTAAAACGTAACAATAGTTTTTCGAGCAAAAAAAAGCTCAAAAAATATTCGTTATATTTTGAGTAAAGAATAAAATTTTGTAAATAACGATTAAAAATTGATTTTTATAATAAAAATTATAACCATTACGGTCCCTGCTTTGTTTACATTATGTACTAGCAGACCCGTTGAAATTCGTCCGGCTAAAAAAATTTAAATTAATGAAACACTTATTGAATTCTGGTGTTTCAATGTGTTTTATCTGCATGGGATCTAAAGAGATTTACGAGGTCGTGTCTCAGATCAAATCAATACTGCTGATTTAAAAAGTGGGTATCTGCATTAGAGGGCTGCATGAATTCATTCAAACTTCTAGCCAAACAGAATACAGTAGATAATATATATATTTAATATTTTACTTCACATACAAATCATTCAGCGTTTGGAATTTTGTGAGTTAAGAATATACATTTTGTTTTAAATTTTCTACTTTCAAGCTTGAAACGCATTGGAAACGACGGGCTACGGACCACAGCTGTCAAATTATTTTAACACGTACTCTTATGTAGATAATTATTTTGGCGACGACACGGCAAAACTGCGACTAGCCAAAAATGTAGCTGTGGCCTGATTGGATCTATTTCTATTTTTCTATCGACATATGCGATTCTTCTTCTTCTTTTATGTCAAACTCAAACAAATTCATGCATCGCTGCCGCGTTCAAAAAAATCATGTCGCCGTCGACAAGGCGTTTAGATTATATAGATAAATCCTTAATGTCGTGTAGCGTGGTGATGTCATTTTCGATGTGTTCAGAGCTTCAAATAGAAGAATGTGAATGAATGAATGAAAAACATTCAAATCATTCAAACTCATTTAGGATAAAGTTGTTTTCTACAAACAAGTTTGTTCGTATTGTAATATGTATGTCCATATGTATGTTTGTACACATGATAAAAAAAATAGAAGATAGTTTCACTTCAACCTTTTGTGACGGATATTGGCATTTTTGAATTTCATAAATTGTACGATTTAGAAGCAGCATTGCCACATTGATATTAACAAAATATAATTGATGGTATTTTGGGATGGAAGTTTCTATTATTTTTAATGGGTCTTAGTCTTTTCAGAGGATCCTAAATAGCATGATAAAAATATAGTAAGGTAGAACCGCTGAGAGTCACTTTTAAAATTCTTGACGTTTCCAAACAATTTAATTTTTAAATTTACTCACAAACTCACACACACATTTTCATTTTCAATCTCAAGCAACAACAATTTCGAACAATTTCAATTTTTTATTTTCACTTTTATATGATTTTAAAATGATGGCAAACTTCAAAAAAAAATCATGGCCGACAAATTGAGAGAACGGTTATACCTTGCTATGTTTTTATCATGCTAAATAGTATATATTTGGAGATTTAAAATGTGTAATAATTATGATTAGAAGGTCGTGAGCTGGACCGATTTGAAAATACCTCAAAAAATGTGGTTTTTTATGAACAAAAAAAGTTATTTTAAAAGATTATTTGAAAAAACAATCCCTTGGACGTTAAGACAGTTTAAGCTTAAAAAATCTGCATAAAATTATTAAAAACAATTTCAACGGGATGATAATAATTGTTTTCAAAGACTGGTTTAAGAAAAACTTAAATAACAGGACGAAAACTATACCGATTTAGACTTATGTGGAAAGGTATTTTCTCACCCTTTTTATTTATTTGCAAAAAAACTCATTCATGTTCCAATTTAAATTTTTTTAAATATCAACACATCTTAATTAAAGTTGGAATGACACTCGTCATACTTTGAATTAAATTATGCAAAGATATAAAAAGAGTGCTAAAATACCTTTCCAATGATACCTTACGAGTCTAAATCATTTCTTGACTTAGTTATTCATTTTTTTTTTAACCAATCTCCGAAAAAAATTCAAAAACAGCATCAAAAATCTTATTATTAGGATTCTGTTGAATTTTTTTTTAAGTCTAAAGCAAGTTTTTTAAAGTTAAAACTATTTTGCCGTCTGAGGTGATTTTTTTTTAAAAAATACTTAAAGAAAAAATATTTTTATTTATAAAAAACTCAAGGATGTATTTTCAAACCAGTCCAGCTCACGTAAATCTTAATATTTTTCCGAAATATTTTGGCGCAAGTCTTAAAATACAATAGATTTTATAATTCTAATGGAAAAACAGTAGTGGAGTGATGCAATCTAATGTACATATGAATACAATAGGCCGGGTCGATTTGTGGGGAGGCAAAAAAATCGCCCATTGCTCTGTGAAAATCATATTCTAGGGATCAAAATAAGAAACTTTGCTGAAGGAACCATACCTCTATAATGAATTCTGATGTCCCCCAATTTGGGTCGAACTTTTGGGTAGGGGCAAATTTTGAAAAATCCCACTTTGACCCAGTTAGAGTGCTCCAATCGAGTCCAAATGTATGACCGACCCCCACTAACTTTGGAGGCCCGACCCACCGATGCAAGTGGCACACCCCCTGGAACCCCCCTGGGGGTTCACCATACAAACATTTCAAAAAATCGCCGGTTTTGCACTTTACATGAAAAAATCAGCGAAATGCCTATGTTTTTTCTTTTTGGAATTTATTTTTCTCTTTAGAAATTTATTTAGTCAGAACATATGTAAATGAAAAAATGAATTTAACTTAGTAATAGAAAAGAAATTAAAAAAAATTATTAGAAATTAGCGTTTTTACAACCCTTTTAAAACCAAGGCATCACTGTGATGCATTTGCATGTCGTAAACATAGTTGTGTGGGTTTTTTATTCAACCGTTTTAAAAAATGAAGGTATCACTGTGACACAATTGCAAATCGGAAAATTGCTTGTGTGCGTTTTTTAAGACACAGCTGCATGTCGTAAACTTACTTGTGTAGTTTTTTTATAGCACCTACTTAAGAAATGAAGGTTGTTTTTACAACCCTTTTTGTGGGTATTTTAAGGCACCTTCTTAAGAAATGCGCGTTTTTTGCAACCATTTTAACAATTAAGGTATCACTGGAATGCACCGCAACCCTTTTAAACAATGAAGGTATCACAGTGACACAATTGCAGATCGTAAAATTGCTTGTGTTGTTTTTTTTAAGCCACCACAAGACACAGCAGGTAGAATTGAAATTACCATTTCATTCTTATTACCTCGTCTCGTAGACCATATATACGCAACAGTTTTTGTGAATGCGCCGCGAAGTAAGCGGGCATTGGCTAGTCCAAAATAAATTCGTAAACTTACT